TATATAAATAAAAATATAAATATATTAGAAAAAATAAATTTTTTACCAATGATAGGATGCTCGGAGACGTCAACCCAAGCCGACGCCAATATGCACTCCTCCTCCGGCGTCCACTTTTGGATTGACCGTGCCGCATCGGTCAACGTGCTTTTGGCTTTGTGGCTCCTCCGGCGTGTACTTTTTTTCGATCCGGACGGTTCCGGTTGAGTCTCCGGAACCGAATCTCGGTCGACGTACCCCGATTGTTGCGTCTCGTATATCGGCGGTCGATCGCCCCACTCTTGGTAGAACCACATCGCGGCGTCACTCGGGGGGAGATTATCGGGAACAAAGCCGGAGCCGGAAGGATTAATGTTGAATAGAAAGAGAGTAATTTCGAATTTTAAAATGGGAAGAAGAAGAGATTGAGATGAGAAAGGGTGAGAGATTGAGAGGGGGGGTTTGAATTTATAAGAAAAAAAATAATTTTTTTTAAAAATAAGCATTTATTCTTTTCTTATATGTCATTTTAACCAGATTGCCGGATCAGAAACTTTCTACAAAACACCAACTTGAATGTGCCTGTTGAATCAGCCTATAATAATATAAAAGTGTTGGAGTTAAATTTTCTCATAGAAAAGAGGGAAATGAAATTTCTACAATCTTCATTTATATCATGAAAATAGTTTTTAATACATTTTATATCATTCAGGCTATTCTAGCATTTTAGCTAAATTTTAAGTCACAAATGGGCATAGCATTTGTAAGTTGAGTTTTCAACAAAGAGAAGACATGAAGTACTCCCTCCATCTAAAGATAAACACACATTCCTTTTCATCAGTCCCAAAATAAAAGTCCAATTTCTAATCTGGTAAGAAATATGTGGTCATCGTAATTTCTCTCTTTCAAATCAATTTCAATCACACTTTTTACCTTTCAACACTTCTTTAAAACTCAATGTCTGGTTAAAGTGGACTTTTTAGGGAGTAGACATGAAGGACAAATTATGTTGAAACCAAAAATCATTTCAACTTTTCATATGGCACAACCTCATTCTTATCCCCAGTGCATTTTTCGCCAATGATATGCCTCAGATATTCTTCAAATTCTTCATCAGGAGCCTGCAACCGGAGCATGAAATAGGTCACTTAATATGTTAGGACAACAAATAGCATTTAAATCGATCTCTCGAAAAGACTTCATCTTTCAAGTAAAGAAATGTGTAATCCAACTATTTAGTAAAAAAAGAACTATTGCGCACCAAACGGACACCAAAAGCTTTTGCAACTCCTGCTACAGTAACATCTGAAGGCAAGGGCCCAACCCCTCCATAGATGAACACCTGCAATGTCAAGAACAGAGCAGTAACAAAATGAAGTTCTAACAGAAAAATTGGTGACAGCCAAAGACAAAACTAAAGAGAAGGAAATCTATATAAACCATATCATTTGTAGATTTTCTCCTCTCCACTTCCTCAGAAACAGAATCTACCTGAATTTAGAAATAACAAAATTTGGGATCAATTGGCTTCAAAATTTATTACTTTAACCTAAAAACTATTATTCGTTTGCACCCACTTTAAAAAAAAAATTATTTTTTTTTCTTATAAATTCAAACCCCCCTTCTCAATCTCTTACACTTTCTCATCTCAATCTCTTCTTCTTCCCATTTTAAAATTCGAAATTACTCTCTTTCTATTCAACATGAATCCTTCCGGCTCCGGCTTTGTTCCCGACAATCTCCCCCCGAGTGACGCCGCGATGTGGTTCTACCAAGAGTGGGGCGATCGACCGCCGATATACGAGACACAACAATCGGGGTACGTCGACCGAGATTCGGTTCCGGAGACTCAACCGGAACCGTCCGGATCGAAAAAAAGTACACGCCGGAGGAGCCACAAAGCCAAAAGCACGTTGACCGATGCGGCACGGTCAATCCAAAAGTGGACGCCGGAGGAGGAGTGCATATTGGCGTCGGCTTGGGTTGACGTCTCCGAGCATCCAATCATTGGTAAAAAATTTATTTTTTCTAATATATTTATATTTTTATTTATATATATTATATTTAATGGTGTCAAAAAAAAATTGTGTAATACTTTTTTAAAGGTACGGAGCAAACGAAGGATGCGATGTGGGATCGTATCGAGAGGAAGTTCTTCACGGCGATGAAGAAGGATGGCTCCTACCGAACCCGTGACCAACTCACTTCCAAATGGAGCCACATCAACAAAAAAGTACGAAAGTTTATGGGAGTATACGAGGAATGCTCCCGGTCCCGGAGGAGCGGCATGAACGACGCCGATGTTCTCCGGCTTGCCACGACCCGGTATCAAGACGACGGGAACCAAGGCAAGGTGCCCATCGATCTTTGGGGGATTTTGAGTCGTTCCCCGAAGTGGCAACAACTCAACAATCCCGACGGCGTATCATT